ACTGTTCCTTGAGGTACCTTTCTGGATATAATCAGTACTCCACCTTATCTCCAGCAAGAAACATGATGCGCCCAAGAAACTTAAAGTTACTCTATACGTCTGCCACTCTTCCCTTCCATAGCCTCACTTTAAAATTGGCACATCGGCCAGGTCTGCCACATATAAAAAGAAAACCAACAGTAGCAGACTGAGCACAAAATCAGCTAGGAGCTTCTTCTCTCCAGCAATAAAAACTTATGTTTTATAGTCATTATTTTAATAAACTGATGAGGTATTTGACATAATATCTTTAAAATCACTCCTAGGTTAAATTCATCACATAAATGACAGTTACGTGAGCACACTAGTAGACCTTTAAAATGGACTTATCCACTACATTTACAACTTTATCTTCAACAAGAAAGACATTCCTCATTCGTAAAGCTTTAAAACCATGAAACAGAGTTCTATCTGACTGAAACCCTCATGTTGCTAGCTCTTTCAATACTGCATATTTGTAAAGCAAGGGATTGAATACAGTGGCACCCAAAATGCCTCCATCACAAATATTACAGTTAAGAAGTGAATATAAATAATTATCTGCTGAGATCACCAAATATATATTTACTATCAATCAAATTATCCAATGTTGCAAACATCTCCCAAAATTGTATTTCTTTTTATTCCTTGACAATATAAATAAAAACTGAAGCAAGTGTCTGAAATAATATTTATATTCAGCCATCCTTATCAGTGATGTCAGCTAGCCAGATGGGTAAAGTCTGCTAGCCTGAAGGGTGAAATTGACTAGCCAGATGGATAAAGTCTGCTAGCCTGAAGGGTGAAATTGACTAGCAAGATGGGTGAAGTTAACTAGCCAGATGAGTGAAGTCAGCTAGCCAGATGGGTAAAGTCTGCTAGCCTGAAGGGTGAAATTGACTAGCAAGATGGGTGAAGTCAACTAGCCTGATGGGTAAAATAGACTAGCAAGATGGGTGAAGTCAACTAGCCTGATGGGTAAAATAGACTAGCAAGATGGGTGAAGTAAACTAGCCTGATGGGTAAAATCGACTAGCAAGATGGGTGAAGTCAACTAGCCTGATGAGTGAAGTCAGCTAGCCAGATAGGTAAACTCTGCTAACCTGAAGGGTGAAACTGACTAGCAAGATGGGTGAAGTTAACTAGCCAGATGAGTGAAGTCAGCTAGCCAGATGGGTAAAGTCTGCTAGCCTGAAGGGTGAAATTGACTAGCAAGATGGGTGAAGTCAACTAGCCTGATGGGTAAAATAGACTAGCAAGATGGGTGAAGTAAACTAGCCTGATGGGAAAAATCGACTAGCAAGATGGGTGAAGTCAACTAGCCTGATGAGTAAAGTCAGCTAGCCATATGTGTAAAGTCTGCTAACCTGAAGGGTGAAATAGAGTACATGTAGCAAGATGGGTGAAGTCAACTAGCTTGAATTGTGAAATTGACTAGCAAGATCGGTGAAGTCAACTAGCCTGATGGGTGAAAATGACTAGCCAGATGAGTAAAGTCAGCTAGCCAGATGGGTAAAGTCTGCTAGCCTGAAGGGTAAAATTGACTAGCAAGATGGGTGAAGTCAACTAGCCAGATGGGTGAAGATGACTAGCCAGATGAGTAAAGTCAGCTAGCCTGAAGGGTGAAATAGAATACATGTAGCAAGATGGGTGAAGTCAACTAGCCTGATGGGTGAAGATGACTAGCCAGATGGGTAAAGTCTGCTAGCCTGAAGGGTGAAATCGAGTACATGTAGCAAGATGGGTGAAGTCAACTAGCCTGAATGGTGAAATCGACTAGCAAGATCGGTGAAGTCAACTAGCCTGATGGTGAAGATGACTAGCCAGATAAGTAAAGTCAGCTAGCCAGATAGGTAAAGTCTGCTAGCCTAAAGGATGAAATAGAGTACATGTAGCAAGAATGGTGAAGATGACTAGGCAGATGAGTAAAGTCAGCTAGACAGATGGGTAAAGTCTGCTAACCTGAAGGGTGAAATCTATTACATGTAGCAAGATGGGTGAAGTCAACTAGCCCGATGGGTGAAGATGACTAGCCAGATGAGAGAAGTCAGATTAACTGTATAAAGGCTTCACAGCAGACAGAAAGCTTAGCTCACTCCTTAATTTTAATTTGTACAGCGACTTGATTTTGCTGCTCATTTTATTTTACATCCAAAATATTAGCAAACAGAGGTAAAATTACCTTCTTTCTGCAAAGTTATGTAATCTGAGGGAGTCAATAACTTCTAGAAAAGGAACACTGTATTGATACAACTCCTAACATACCATGCAATATGATAAATGTGGAGCTTTAAAAATCATCTTGCTTGAAAAATCATTCAGTCAAGTTTGTAAGATTCTTGCCCACAGGTAAATCCAAAACAGAGAAAGGGATAATGTTCAGTTTGCAATCCTTCATGTTCTGCAAATTTTCTGTGATCAGCACATATATCAGCACTTTTATTTAGTGTTTACATGTACAGCATGATTTGATTACATAAATGGCCAGAGATAACTGTGTTTGTGCAATATTGTTTTTTAAGAAACATTTTCTTTTAATACATCATTAGCCTGTGTCAATGTATACAATACTATGCCTTCATTAATCATATCAGCTGCATATGTCTTGTTCGCTTTTATGTACTTTTCACAATGACTTCAGTAATTAAATACATGTGCTGTTTAAACCAACTTGTTAACAGGTTTTCATTTTCCTGGAATAGTCCCATGCCCTTGGTAGCCTCAATAAGATGGGAAAAGACTGACCAAAATCAAGGCCAATTTAAGTACATGTACTTGAAGCTGGTAAATACAAACTATTCAACCATATGCCAGTGCTGACATAAAATATCTTAGTTAATGTTTTTCATATTTGAATGTGACTGATGCAATATTTTATTGTGGATTTTATTAAACAAAGGTAACCAAAATGTCATTTTTCAAGATACAAGTGTATTTCACCCTAGTTTTGTCATCATGCACTCAAAATTTCCATTTTTTTCTCAAAGTGTAAATGCTACTCACTGACGACAGATCACCCTTTACTGATGAATTTAACTTGTATCTTTTTTCAGACTTACACAGAACATATCTCAACATCCCCCTATGTAGACAATATTTCCTGGGGCCTGAGGATGTCCACATAACAGACAGGACTGTATATGTTTTATGTATATGCAGTCATTAGATTAAATAAAGATCAGTGGAGTTTATCCCCATTTTTACAATGCTGTCATTCATAGCAGTGTCAAAATGCATATTCTGCCAAGACATCATGGTCACAGGTCAGGTTCTGCCAGTGGTTGCTTGTGACAGAGCGTTTATATAATAGAATCTATGCATTAGGACTGTGGTTAGTCCCTACATGGGAAGACCTAGATGCTGATATTTATGATTTGGGTGTCAGGGTTGTAACACTAAAACATAAATAATATGCGATACATCTTACATTGTAGGACTAGATTGTGGTCGAATATTACAGGTCGTCGCTCATAGCAGAGGTCACTCATAACAGTTTTTACTGTCTTGCTAATTAATTATTCAGTAAATAACACGTTTATAACAACCATTTATTGTTCAATAAAAATAAGAGTTACAAATCACACAAGGATTATAAAGAGCATTGTAAGTTAGGACCGATCATGACAGTAATCAGTTCTTAATTAAGTGTATGGACTGAATCTATAATGGGTCGATTTTGCGATGGATTGACACTGCTACTATGCCGTGTCTCAACATGATCCACGAAATAGGGGTACTGATATGTCCTGTCACCGTCAATATCACTAAGTATTCTTTTTTTTAAAAAATGATCAAAACTCTTGTATTAATATCACGAAAATATGTGAAATGGTGTTACAGTTGGCGCCAACCTGCTAAATCATAAAATTTCTCTGTTTTGAATAATGACGCCACGATCCAGCAAGCCCATTGTATCCCGAAATCAATCGCCACAGCTTTGCCAAACGTGTTTCCCATTATAAAGTACAGTATTTGCATTGCATGTGTACTTTGCCCTAGATTAAGAACGGTCTATACCCTTTCAACATGTATGTTGTGTAAATATTGATTGACTGCTTTTAAAAATATGAGGATAATAATTATTATAATATGAAATAAATCGACAACCAGACAGAAATTGACCTACCTAAGACACTAACCAATCGTCTTCGGTACAGATCGTTTCGGCAAAAACGTTTTGGCCCTAGGTCAATAAATTAGTCCCATAACTGTAGTTGATAGTAAGGATGTTGATTGGCAACCTTGGCGATAGTAATGATGTTGATTGGCGGTTTGTTTGATCTCGTTCATCAGTATCAAAACATATTTCGGCCCTGATCAGTTCGGTCGGGTTCTTTCGATCCTTTCTGCGTTATTCGGGTTGTTTCCGCCCACTGAACTCAATTATAGACCGTACATAAAAATGATCTTCAATTTTTTCGAAATCACTAAGTGGAGCTTATTAAACGATTCATATTTACATGTAAATTATCCAATGACTTTCAAAAACAAATGGGATAAACTCATGTGAAACGCATATTATTTTAATGACGTTTCGGATACATAAAAACAGTTTGAACAACTTGTTCTTTGATTGTCAGGATTTGTTTACTTCGATACCGTTTTCTTGCTTATAATTTCTTGTAGAGATTCCGTGGTATGGATAAGAACATTTGTTACTTATTATATGAAGTGTTTGTAGTATTTATAGTTTTGACATGTGCAACTGTAATTACTAATTTTTATAAATGTTTTGTGCAGATGTTATGTTTAGTTGGGCTTATTTGTGATTTAGATTTTTAAAGAAGCTTTAACAATTTGTCATTCATATCGCTACGATGTCTGTAGTGTGGCAGTTTATAGTGATGTCTAGCACTGGGGCATCATACTGCAGATATGTAGCATGATGCCCCACCCAGCCACATTATCCTGACACCAGGACAACCAGTCCTAACACTAACCTCTTGATGATGAGCGCCAAGTGAGGCAGCTGTTAGTACCATTTTTTCGGCCATGGTTCGAACCCACGACCTCTTGCATCCGAGGCGGATGCTCTAACCACTAGGCCACCGGAAC